GTGTTGGATCAGGACTGGATAGTGGATCAGGACTGGATAGTACTGTTTAAAAAGGAATCTTTTTAAATGTGCCTTGATTGATGGTGAAAATAGAGTGGTAGTACATCTCAGCTGTAACTTGTGGATCAAGATGACGATAAACTTCAGGTTATATGTAATTACATCTACATCTACAAGATACAATATTCAGCATCTAGTTTTAAAACATACACTTCCACTGTCAGGCTTCTTTTAGAACGACGTTACAATTTCTACTGGACAATACTGATAAAACGACACCTTCTGCCGCTCTCCAGACAATACAATTAAAGGCGCGGATCAGCCAATCAGATTGAAGCGAAAGTACGCATTTCTCGGCGACACTATTTCCCCTAAACTCACGCCCCTGTGGGAGAGCTTAATATAAATGACATCTCCCTGGTCACGGATGTGCTCAGGATGCATGTGTAAGTCAGTGGTTGTAATATCCGTGCTGAATCATTCTCTGCAGATGTCCCCAATCTCCGGCGTTCGTTGCTGTGATTGGATTGTGTAATTCCCCGAGCAAGGCGTTTTTCAGTGTTTAAGTCTCTTTTGAAATTATTTTAAGACACCAGTATTTAACATTTTAAATACCCAACGAATTTCTTCCTTGTCATAAATACATGTCCTGGTGCGGGGGACATCCTGGTATGGCTGAATTAATTCATTTAAATGATGCAAAGATATTCTTGTCGCATAAAAGGAATTGTCCTATAATAAAATTTAAAAAAATAAAAAATTATGTATTGCACTTTACGAGGTGTTTTACAAACAACCACGTACTCTAGCTGGCTGTAACAATCGTTTGTTAAATAACGCAGCCTTCTTCTGTCAATTATATTTGATTAAAGTGTCATTTGACGCATCGCAAGCTCGAACACAAGAAGTCCGTTTCGAAGGCAACATACTGAAATTATCGATGGCAACTTGGATGTAACAGTGTGGAACTAAGCCTAGTGGTTAAAGCGTTCGCTCGTCACGCCGAAGACCCGGGTTCGATTCCCGACATGGGTACAATGTGTGAAGCCCATTTCTGGTGTCCCCCGCCATGATATTGCTGGAATATTGCTAAAAGCGGCGTAAAACCATACTCACTCACTAAAACTGCGGCAGGGTATCTCACTTGGATGGTAGTTTGTCCGCACGAGCACAAGCAGCATCACAAGTACATGCATTCATACGGATTGATGCAGTAATGTAGGGCCCATAATACATTTCAGGTTTCAGGTTTTTTCGTTTGGGCATTTCCGAGAATGCTGGTATATTTGCAGTTGGTAAATATACTTTCAGCAATTCACAGTTATGCAGTATTAGTTTAATAATACAGGAGATCAACAGAATTATAGTTACAGAGGTAATTAATTTCTTACTTTTTTCACTTCACACAAGTAGCACCAAGGACGTAGTAGCCATTTATCTCATAAATGCTTCCGGTGAACGGTTTGATGTAATGTAAGATGGAAAAACATACTTGTCGAAGAGATTCATAAACTTTACAAACCTTTATGTATACTATTGTATACTAGCAGTTGGTACAAATTTTCAGAAGTTTTTTAGTCACTGTCCTGCCAGGTCCAGGCTCTATTATTGACAGGCTGCGGTGATATAGCGGCGACGGAGGCGTTGAACAACATTCATCCACCAATTGCGATGACCGATGTATGTCATATTTACAAACATTTCTCACCATCGCTTAGGAGATGATTGTAACGTCATGACACTACCCGGAATGACACGAGTTGGTCTCATGCCAGCTACATACACACCACAATATACACGCCACTGCAGACACATCACTACATACACACCACTACAGACGCACCACAACAAACACGCCACTACAAACACACCACTACAGACACATCACTACAGACACACCACAACATACACGCCACTACAGACACACCACTACATACACGCCACTACACACACACCACAACATACACGCCACTACAGACACACCAATACAAACACACCACAACATACATTCCACTACACATACACCACAACATACACGCCACTACAGACACATCACTACATACACGCCACAACATACACGCCACTACAGACACACCAATACAAACACACCACAACATACACGCCACTACACACACACCACAACATACATACCACTACAGACACACCAATACAAACAAACCACAACATACACGCAACAACACACACAACACGCGACTGCAGACACATCACTACAGGCACACCACAACATACACGCCACTACAGACACACCAATACAAACACACCACAACATACACGCCACAACACACACAACACGCCACTACAGACACGCCACTACAAACACAGCACATCATACACGCCACTACATACACACCACAACATACACACTGCTATAGACACAACACTCGCACAAATGTTAAGAATTTTTTTAGTCACACACCACAACATACACGCCACTACAGACACACCAATACAAACACATCACAACATACACGCCACTACAGACACACCAATACAAACACATCACAACATACACGCAACTACAGACACACCAATACAAACACATCACAACATACACGCAACTACAGACACACCAATACAAACACATCACAACATACACGCAACTACAGACACACCAATACAAACACATCACAACATACACGCAACTACAGACACACCAATACAAACACATCACAACATACACGCAACTACAGACACACCAATACAAACACATCACAACATACACGCAACTACAGACACACCAATACAAACACATCACAACATACACGCCACTACAGACACATCACTACAGACACACCACAACGTACACCACAAGATACAAACCACTACATACACACCACTACATACACACCACTACATACACACCACTACATACACACAACTACAAACACACCACTACATACACACCACTACATACACACCACTACATACACACCACTACATACACACCACTACAAACACACCACTACATACATACCACTACAAACACACCACTACAGACACACCACAACATACACACCACTACATACACACTACTACATACACACCACTACATACACACCACTACATACACACCACTACAGACACACCACTACACACACACCACTACATACACACCACTACAGACACACCACTACAGTCACACCACTACAGACACTACACAACATACACACCACTACAAACACACCACTACATACATACCACTACATACACACCACTACAGACACACCACTACATACACACAACTACAAACACACCACTACAGACACACCACAACATACACACCACTACATACACCACTACATACACACCACTACATACACACCACTACATACACCACTACATACACACCACTACATACACAACACTACACACACACCACTACAGACAAACCACTACATACACACCACTACAGACACACCACTACATACACACCACTACACACACACCACAACAGACACACCACTACAGACACACCACAACATACACACCACTACATACACCACTACATACACACCACTACATACACACCACTACTTACACCACTACATACACACCACTACATACACACCACTACACACACACCACTACAGATAAACCACTACATACACACCACTACAGACACACCACTACATACACACCACTACACACACACCACAACAAACACACCACTACAGACACACCACAACATACACACCACTACATACACCACTACATACACACCACTACATACACACCACTACATACACACCACTACATGCAAACCACTACATACATCACTACATACACACCACTACATATACACTACTACAGACGCAACGCTACATACACACCACTACATACATCACTACATACACACCACTACATACACACCACTACATACATCACTACATACACACCACTACATACATTACTACATACACACCACTACATACACACCACTACATACACACCACTACATACACCACTACATACACACCACTACATACATCACAACATACACACCACTACAGACACACCACAACATACACACCACAACATACACACCACTACATACACACCACTACAGACACACCACTACAAACATCACAACATACACACCACAACATACACACCACTACATACACACCACTACATACACACCACTACATACATCACAACATACACACCACTACAGACACACCACAACATACACACCACTACATACACCACTACATACACACCACTACATATACACCACTACATGCAAACCACTACATACATCACTACATACACACCACAACAAACACACCACTACATACACACCACTACAGACGAAACGCTACATACACACCGCTATAGACACATCACTACATACACACCACTACATACATCACTACATACACACCACTACATACATCACTACATACAAACCACTACATACATCACTACATACACACCACTACACACACACCACTACATACATCACTACATACACACCACTACAGACACACCACTACATACATCACTACATACACCACTACATACATACCACTACATACATCATTGCATACACACTACTACATACATCACTTCATACACACCACTACATACATTACTACATACACACCACTACAGACACACCACTACAGACACACTAGTACATACATTACTACATACACACCACTACAGACACACCACTACATACACACCGCTATAGACACACCACAACATACACACAGCTATAGACACACCACTACATGCAAACAACTACAGACGCAACGCTACATACACACCACAACATTCAGAAAATGAACTGATATGACAACATGATAATACCAATGTTGAAATATTTCCCCTTCAGGGATGAGGATATGACATGTCTTGCCCAGGTGCTGTTGATCGTAACCGGTTTCGGCTGTCACTGACAAACAAAAGTTCTTTCTCAGCCAATGAGACACGAGCTACCTGGCCCGGCTTGCTAACTCCGCCCACCTGGATATCCGGGTTGCGTTGTACATAAACCACAGCCCCAAGACTTGACAGTGATGAAGTCGAAAACTACATTTCATTCTTTTGATTTTATGAAAGGTAAGACATGTTTTGGCGTTGCATTTTCTTAACATTATACAACCGAGAAAGCTCTTTCTATCAAGGTTTCAAAGACGCTGTTCAATGATACATCATTCAAGGCCCGAGTAAAGCTTTCGAAATGTATTATGGTAGCCGCGTGAGGGCATTTCCAAATTTGACTTATCAATGACAAAAATGATGTCAGATGCAATTTGTTATTTGTACCATATGTTCAGGGGGCACGGGTGGCCCAGTCGTCATAAATGCTGTTGCAAAAATACTTTATTTCTATTCTTCAAAGAATCATTTGCACCATTTATCCTTTAACCAACCATAGGGTGGCACGGGTGGCCTAGTCGTCTAAGGCGCCGCGATTCGCTGTGCAGAGTTGCGTCCCCTGGACACGCCAGAAACCTATGATTGTAGGTTCGAATCCAGGTTCGCCCCGGTTATGTTTCTAGGTTTGTCAGCACCATACCCGTGCTCGTGGGTTTCACCGAAGTGGTAAACGTCTGAGGCCTGCATCACTTGGGGCTTTCCTCCCACATTAAGCTGACACGCCGCCATATAACTGGAATACTGTTAAAAGCGGCGTTAAACCCAACTCACTCACTCACTACAGGCGAACAAGTAACTTGCCTTTGCATGTGTTTGTGACCGGTGGGGCAGGATACGCTCACCTTTTCGCTGTTTGATAGTGTTTCATAAACTCCTGCTCATGAAATGGTCAGAAATCGTACAGTCGACTCTGCTTTTGGCAGAAGTTACTGATGATATGGAAAGGGCTTTGTCGCTTTTATTAACATTGTAACAAAAAGTACGATAATTCTTGTAACGTCTTTTGGTTCATGTCGCGACAAGGGTATGAAAACCTAATACCTTCCGCTATCCGGGTAGATGCTTTATCCACTGAGGCGGTTATAATAAATTTTAAGTTGCTTAGCATAACTTCCAACACGTAAACTGAAGACTTTATCTGATTTAGCTAAAACGCAGCATGTTACCATGGGAATAAGGGAAGTAAACACACATATTTTACACGCACGTTACTGTATTGTAGATATATATATTAGCTAATAACATGACTTTCTGTTGTAAGAGCTCCTGGTAACGTTTTAAGTAATTGAGTTTTTACTCGAAGGTTTTTATTTTAATTGGGTTATTACATTTTTCGTTGGGAAACCAATATTTTCTTTCACTCATCTGTTCATCACTCTATTGTTTTTTTCCCAAAATGAGTTAATATTTTGAGACTTCAAAAAAAAGAGTTTTAGATGTATATAAGGGTTCTAACAATAGACTTGACTCGGAAAGTAAATTAGCTCGTAATTGTGTTTCTGAAATTCGCTCCTTTGTACCCATGCTGAAAAAGCTTCATTGGGTATTTACGCATGCTGTTTTTATACATTTGAGATACTATGTAGTATTCATGTAATGCATGCGTTTCTGTACTCAAGTTAATTGAAAGTAATTGGGTTTTGTATCTTTTGAATTTTTAAATTTTATTTTATTTATTTTTTTAATTATTTTTTAAATTTATTTATTAATTTATATTTATATTTATATATATATATTTTTGGGGTTCGGTCGGGGGGGGGGGGGGGGGTATTTTACGCAAATACGCAGCTTATCTGTAGCTCTGCAGTTGTTGTTATTTCCATATTGAACGGTTAGTTTGAATTTTGTCTGACTTAATATACAAGGGTACTCCATATTCAAATGTGATATATCGAGGTGTAAAACTCCCCCCCCCCCCCCCCCCCCCCCCCTCCCACACACAAACACCACACCTCAACACACAAAACCTCACCCCCAACCCCACTGTGTTGTAAAACGAACATATTTCTTGCACGTTTGTCTTTACTGCCAAGAAGCAGAATTTCTACACTTGTACAGAATAGACTTAATACAAAATTATCATATGGGTTTTAGTTTCAACAATGTCAGTAAATACACTAGCGTGTCACTGGATTTTCTAGTCATCGAACATTTTATTGTCTGGTTTGTTTGCAGGCCGCCGTCGCATGGCAGGAGGACAGCTGTGCGGCGTCAGGCGACACACCTCGTATTTTATGAAATAGTGTGTGGCGGGTGCTTCCGGTAGGGCGGGACATGCTCACTCTCTTCGCGAACACCCGGTGTCATCTCTGATTTTCAGTTATCAATTCATATCATTTTCACAGCTATTTTGCCTGATTTTCAGTTATCAATTCTTATAATTTTCACAGCTATTTTGCCTGATTTTCAGTTATCCATTCTTATAATTTTCACAGCTATTTTGCCTGATTTTCAGTTATCCATTCATATAATTTTCACAGCTATTTTGCCTGATTTTCAGTTAGCCATTCTTATAATTTTCACTGCTATTTTGCCTGATTTTCAGTTATCCATTCTTATAATTTTCACAGCTATTTTCCCTTTTCCGCCCAATAGAATCTGTTTCGAAGACTGACTATTCTCTGGCGTTTATGTTTTGTATTTGCCTGCATTTTACTGTGAATAAAAGCGTACACTTTAGATCAAACAAAGACAATATGAAGATTTGCCCAATCCTTGATGAACGTAAAATGCAGTTACATAAAAGCGATAAAACCCTTTCCATAAATCATGAGAAGTATGAGAGTCCATTGTACGATTCTGACCTTGTCATCAGCATGTATTTATGAATCACTATCACATAGTGATTATACCAAGGGTTTGCGAAGAGGTGAGAGTATCCTTCCACACTGGTGGCAACCGTCACAAACACATTCACAGGCAAGTCAACTGTTCCCAATTTTAAATACAAACACCAATACATCGGTAAAATGAATTACCTGTATCTCCCAAGTGACTACAGACTAATAGTAGCACGCCGTACCTTCTGCAGAAACAATGACGTCAGTTTCTAATTCGGTGACTTCAAAAATTGCTGTGCTTTGAAACGTTGACATAATTCCTTGAAACAACAGCATTCCTTTGAATTACTGACATCAGTAAAAATAAACGAACTATTGACACTGCATTACCAAAGACATTCTAACGTTAAAAAAACGTTACTAGACAGTTGCCGAAACACTGCAAACTTAAGGTTATTAAAACCCTGTGATGCCCGTATCAAACACACCACCATCGAATAAATATTTCATGTTTGTTGTTTCATTTTTGGCCACCAACAAACATCAGTGTATATTTGCTTTTGCCCGCTAATTTACTTTTTATTTGTTTTTGCAGCCTAGCTATCTGTCACTTCATCATTATCATCATAATTGTATTTGTTATCATGATTAATGCCGTCATCGCCATCAAAGGTATAATGTCCACAACTGTTGTTATCTTCAGGATGAGGATGGCCCTCCTGCTCTTGCCGTGCGTCCTTCTGGTAGGCTCCATCACGTGTCAGTCATGTAGGTACAGGCGCACTCATGTGACTATTTCATAAAATTGAATGGGAAAATGCAACTTCACACCCCGTTAGTCCTTCGCACAGGAGGTAATAACCTAAGCGTATACTAGTACTGTTATACATGAGCCCACAGAAGCGCTTTGGGTAAATGTAGACGTGGCACCGCTCCTATCCAAATTCAATCAGGGCGGTATATTAATGTTCCAAATTCAATTAAGGCGGTATATTAATATTCCAAATTCAATAAGGGCGGTATATTAATATTCCAAATTCAATTAGGGCGGTATATTAATATTCCAGATTGAATTAGGGCGGTAAATATATATTCCAATTTGAATTAGGGCGGTATATTAATATTCCAAATTCAATTAGGGCGGTATATTAATATTCCAAATTCAATTTGGGCGGTATATTAATATTCCAAATTCAATTAGGGCGGTATATTAATATTCCAAATTCAATGAGGGCGGTATATTAATATTCCAAATTCAATGAGGGCGGTATATTAATATTCCGAATTCAATTAGGGCGGTATATTAATATTCCAAATTGAATAAGGGCGGTATATTAATATTCCAAATTCAATAAGGGCGGTATATTAATATTCCAAATTCAATAAGGGCGGTATATTAATATTCCAAATTGAACTAGGGCGGTATATTAATATTCCAAATTTAAATTAGGGCGGTATATTAATATTCCAAATTGAATTAGGGCGGTATATTAATATTCCAAATTGAATTAAGGCGGTATATTAATATGCCTTTTGAGGACAGGAAGTGTTTTCATTGTCTTAAAGTTGTTGAAGATGAATGTCATGTCATTTTAAATTGTTCTGTGTAATTATGTGCGCCGACGTATTCTCTTAAACAAGTGACACGAATTAAACTCAATTTATATCAACCTGTGTGTTGTACAGAAATGTGTCCTCCTACCGCCAAAGCCGGCAGTGAGATTTTACAAAAAGGAAACGCGTTTTCTACAGCTGCTAGTCGTCAGCTTCTGTTTTTAGTATTTATGCTAAATACTTGAATACATTTTAGAAGAGTCTCTGTTAACTCGGAGTGGCACAAACATGTATTTTATTATGTAGCAGTGTCGTAATGAATTGTGGTGAGACTGCAATAAAAGCCTGTCTGTCTGTCTTTCATAGCACTTTTATATTGTCAACTCATGTGGAACATGCCATATCACTCCAACACTACCTTTACATTTCAATATGTCTCAGCTTGCTCAATAACACTCCTTGAACCTTACATAACCCCGATGTATATAATACTAGTATATATCTGAAACCTCAGTGCCGATCCGCAACCACAATATGACCAGACCTCACCCACAGACCCCAATATACCCCTGAGATCTCAATACTAATCTCAAACCTCAATACCGACCAGCAACCTCAATATCAATGGGAGACCTTAATGTCACTCCGAGACCCCAATATATCCCTGAGATCTCAATGCTAATCTAAACATCCCATACCGACCCACAACCTCAAGTTCACCCGAAGACCTCTATATCCCTCCAATACCTGTATATACTGAATATATAGATGCTGCTTCTTAACAAAGATACTCTCGTTGATGTTAGAATTAATATTGTATGTACTATTGTAAAGGCCGTGTACTTATGTGGAAACAAATATAACATTATGAAAAAGAAAAGAAAAGAAAAAGAAGCAAGCACGAGGTGTTTGTGCACATCTCACAAACCAGGGATGGGGGCTGGGCTGGGGGTGGGGGGATAGATTGATTGTTGCCCATGCTCGACAAGCTTGACAGTTAGTATCTGGGCATTGCTGCCCGCTAAATCACGCATGTTTACGTTTTCGCCGTCGTGATAAGACTGTTAAATTGTCGGCGTAAAACAACATACCTTCACTTACTTACTCAATTCTTAAACGATTAATTCTTGTTTTTCAGATCAAGGATATGCGGACGACATCGTTTACTGCACGTGTGAAATCAGGTGCTGCCCCAAGTTCCTGTCGAAATTGAGCAAGAGGAGTGTTTCGCAAGCCTTCTTCGACATGGCCCATGTTCGACACAAACGGTGTTGTGGGTGCACGCGGTGTCAGGACTATCCATTGATGTCTGACAGACGAGGGAGGTCGAGTTTGAATTAATCAACTATACCAGATATCGCAACAATGCATATCTTATAACACTATATCGCAGGTGTATTGTATTGACCGTTTCTTGTAATCACTTGTACTTTCAATAACGATGGTGACAGAGCTCAAAATAAAAATCAGATAAATAAAAATAAAACATGCTTTTAAAATGATTTGTGAAAACAAATTTCTGTCAGGTAAAATATAGATACAAAGGAAACAAATTCCTTCGAGGATGAGCCCCATACAGAAGGAATTGAATAGTGGTGAAATGTTTTGTTTTTGACATTATATGATGTCAATGACAATCTACGATATCTTGAGTCAATTGTTTCGCTGCGAAAGTAACATAATCAGGGGTCTGTGATCATTGGAAAATGGACAAACTTGCAGAAAAAGGGCTTTACACCAAAAGATGGCATTGAGTCCAACATGAGGGAGAAGTAGCAGTGGGCAGCAGAGTTTACGCGTGGCAGGGAGAGCCTTGAAGACGACCATCTTTACTGGAAGGCTTGGGACGTGAGCAACATCAAAAATGACATGGTGATGACCGACCGACGAATGACTGAGCGGCAAGCTGTCACGGTCCTTGGTGACGGCAAGCTGACACAGTCCTTGGTGACGGCAAGCTGACACAGTCCTTGGTGACGGCAAGCTGTCACGGTCCTTGGTGACGGCAAGCTGTCACGGTCCTTGGTGACGGCAAGCTGACACAGTCCTTGGTGACGGCAAACTGACACAGTCCTTGGTGACGGCAAGTTGACACATTCCTAGGTGACAGCATCATGACACATCCCCATGTGACTGCAAACTGACACATTCCAAGATGACGGCAAACTGACAAAGTCCTTGGTAACGGCAAGCTGACACGGTCCTTGGTGACGGCAAGCTGACACAGTCCTTGGTGACGGCAAACTGACACAGTCCTTGGTGACGGCAAACTGACACAGTTCTTGGTCACGGCAAGCTGACACAGTCCTTGGTGACGGCAAACTGACACAGTTCTTGGTGACGGCAAGCTGACACAGTCCTTGGTGACGGCAAACTGACACAGTTCTTCGTGACGGCAAGCTGACACAGTCCTTGGTGACGGCAAGCTGACACAGTCCTTGGTGACGGCAAGCTGACACAGTCCTTGGTGACGGCAAGCTGTCACTTTCCTTGGTGACGACAAACTGACACATTCCTAGGTGACGACAAACTGACACAGTCCTTGGTGACTGCAAGCTGACACAGTCCTTGGTGACGGCAAGCTGTCACTTTCCTTGGTGACGACAAACTGACACATTCCTAGGTGACGACAAACTGACTCTGTCCTTAGTGACGACAAGCTGACACATTCCTAGGTGACGACAAACTGACACAGTCCTATGTGACTGCAAGCTGACACAGTCCTTGGTGACGACAAGCTGTCACGGTCCTTGGTGACGGCAAACTGACACATTCCTAGGTGACGGCAATTTGACACATTCCTAGGTGACAGCATTATGACATATTCCTATGTGACAGCTTCATGACACATTCCTTGGAGACGGCAAACTGAAACAGTTCTTGGTGACGCCTAGCCGTCACGGTCCTTGGTGACGGCAACTGACACATGCCTAGGTGACGGCAATTTGACCCATTCCTAGGTGACAGCATTATGACATATTCCTATGTGACAGCTTCATGACACATTCCTTGGAGACGGCAAACTGAAACAGTTCTTTGTGACGCCTAGCCGTCACGGTCCTTGGTGACGGCAACTGACACATTCCTTGGTGACGGCAATCTGACACATTCCTAGATGATAGCATCATGACATATTACTATGTGACGGCAAACTGACACATTCCTTGGTGACTGCAAGATGACACATTCCTTTGTAACTGCAAACTGACACATTCCTAAGTGACGACAAACTGACACATTCCTCGGTGACGGCAAGTTGATACATTTCTAGGTGACTGCAAACTGACATAATCTCCGGTGACGGCTCCAAAGAATAAACTTCACACCCAACTATCTTTCAGTTACCCAACTCTCCCTCATCCAACAGCAGGTGTGCTACATATGACACGTCAATCATGTCCTAATTGTTCAACATCACTTCTTAACATCTCAAACCGGATACATCTGTCAGACCATGGCCTCTGTCACTAGATGATTTATGACCGAGGAACGAGTCGCTTTAGATGTTCATCTAAACAGATATTTTGCGGCAAGCCTGCGGATAATGGATATACATCAAATGAACGAGGACATTACATTCATTACGTCCAATGCAACTCCCTATTTTGACTAATGCCTTATATTCCAGGGATTTTTCAGGTGAACAATTGGCTTGCCTTTGCATGTGTTTGTGAAGGATGCCACCTTTGGGGCAGAACACATGGTATCACTATTTGACAGAGATTCATAAACAAATGCTATACAGAAGGAATTGTACTATCGAATCTGCCTTTACAGAGATTGTTTTGGCTGTGGTAAGGATGTGGTCGCTTCTACCACATTTTCCTGGATCTCGTTGGTCCGGAATCGTCTTTGCAGAATGTTCTTTAAGCAGCGTGTATATGTATCAACGTTACCAAAGCCCCATTCACATGCATATATTTACGCATGTGAGTATTTATACACTCATACGTATATTTCGTAAAGCATGTAGAAACTCCTTGTTTAAATTTGCATCACCAAAAAGGTCATGACGCATAGAACAATACCAGGACAGAAGTAGTGTAGAAATTCCCTTTGCCTTTTTGAAAAAGGTAGTATTTTTGATACATAATGACTGCTGTTGAAATAATTATATTCATTGGAGTGAGTGAGTGAGTTGGGTTTTACGCCGCTCTCATCATTATAACAACAATATCACGACGGGAAAATGGGTGAATTCCGCCGATGAATCCCACGAAGAAGCGAACATACTTCCTATATAAAGTCTATTTGAGATCATGGCATATTTCAATCGATAGCAAGAATGAATTAAAACAACCCCGCAAGCTTTTCAAATGCCATTTACTGTATAACATTTACCAAAAAGCGACTGCTTTAAATGTGAATACTATTCTTTACATTTAAACACACAAAACTTCACGAATGACCAGGAATCCTTTCCCTTGTACTTACCAATCAATTTGGGGCCGACCATTTCATAAAATGGGATTTCATAAAAATATTAACTGCACACAAATATTTTGTCTTCAAGTCCCCGCCAATCGTTCACTTGGTATGCTCGATGTACTGAAAAATAACGTTTGGACCCTTTTTACAGAGACATTTTTTGGTATTCCTTGAAAAGAATCCTCTCAAACAATAAACCCAGCGGTCCCTAAGAATAGTGCATGGTCGGTCCGAATAAACATTTCTTCCAACCATTTAGCTAAAACCATTGCCAAGGTTGTTCATAGTCTCAAAATGAAACCACAATATGCAAGCAAATGTAAGTCAGTTATATGTACATAAGTTATGTAACATTATGCATAAACATAACTTTTAATGTGTGAATTAGAAATCCAATCCGAAGATAGTTCTCATACCATGTTCTCACAGCCCGCCAAGACGAAAATCAATAATCATCCAGGACAAGACTCACAAACTCGTATGCTGAGCAGGAACCATTTTGATTGAAACAACCTTCAACGGTGTCCTTATGCAGCGGTTATGTTATGCATTCAACCAATCCAACGAAATAACTACATAATAGATGTCCCAAAATGGGTTTTAAATGACTGCTAACATTTTTTATGAATGCTATGAATGGTACAAATCATGTTCTGGGATCATTAAGGTTGATTGTTTTCTTTCTGTTGCGATGCAGTATTGTCAAGGGCTGTTGGCATCTTGTAGTATTCCCTGACACTATCAATAACGGTTTGTAGAATTTGTCTTTCTTGGTCAACCGAAGCCTTACACAGCTCTGAATACTCGTTCACATATTCTTTGACTCCTTTAGGAGATTCCATAGGTCCTCCAGGAGGAGCAACAGGTTTCACGCATGGGGTAGTCGGGGCCTGGCTCGCACCTTGCAGGGTAACACATCTGCGTTCAACAGTCATCGAAAGGCAGTCAAATATCTCCCTCTTTGGTGCGGACGAATGCTTAGATGTGCCAATATATACAGCTCTTCCCTTGGTTGAAGAATGACTATATGGTAGCTCCTTAAACCTCACACTCTTTTTGGAATCAGAAAGCCCAGGTACTTCTTTCGATGTGTCTTGTGCTTTTTTATCTACCGCACGATTAGGTGCTTTTTTGGGAGAACTCTTAATCATATAGTTTAATATGTCCACTTTTACTCTTTCCTTCTCTGGTTCATGATGGTGATTTGGGTCCTGTTTAACTTCATTGGAAGCTTCTCCATCAACGGCTCGTTGTCTAGGAAGAGACTTGCTTGGTACCTTTTGGTAAACTTTGGGACTTGTTTCTTCCTTCGGCGTGGGTGTCCTAGCCCCGGAAATGACAACTTCAGGAATGGTATGATTGATGTGATGTCCAGTTCCAACTGGTGGGCCGCTGTCACAAGTATCTTTCTGAACTGATGATGAACCTACTACATTTACAATGTCCCTTGCGAGATCAACCTTTTCAATGCCCATAAATGCCTTGCTTGTGTCTTTGGTGTCAGGTGTATGGACTTGGGTTTGCTTTGAGGGTGCAGAAGGTCCACCGTTTTCAGTTGATGTTGTACGTAAGACCTTTTTCTGCGTATGTTCCAAATCAGAAGCCACAGTGATCCTTGTAACTGATGTGTTCTGTTTAACATTATCCAAGATGTCATTTTCAAAAAACGATTTGGGTTCATCAAGAACCTTTGTACCTGTTGGTAGTTTCGCTTCACGGCTTGAACTGGGTGACGTTTGAGCAATTGAGTATTCCATAGTCTCCCACAATCTACAACAGTTTGGATTAAATGCTGCATAACCACATCGACCTCTCTCAAACACAAAAAATGGCTCTTTTCCCCATGACGATGAATTCTGTTCATTTTGTGCGTTTTGTACCTCGTCACAGTCTGTGGCATCAATCTCCTCCTCTGGACACTCTACAGCAACGACAGCAGAAGGTGAGGCTGCTGAGTCAGGGGAGAGTTCAGCCCTCTGATGCAATTGCCTAAACCACAAGCTCAGCCTCCGGAATCCTGAAGGTTTAGAGTTATCTTGCTTGACTTGGTTAATGCC